GCAGCAGCAGCACCAGCAGGACGCCAAGACCCTCTTCTGCTGGATGGGCTTTCTGGAAGATTCCTGGAAGATGCAGCTCCTCTACATGGAGAGCAAAGACCAGACCTTTAAGTAAGTCACTTAGCAGCGCCGTTAGTGCCCGCCACTCTTGCCTCTTCTTTGCTGCTATGCCCCTCGTCATCCCTGTCCCTCTCTCCCACTTTCCCTCCGTACCTCCGGTTTTCCTCACCACCTCCCTGTCCCCCCATCCCCACCTGCCCTCCTTCTCACCTCGCACCTCCGGACCGTGCTCAGGCAATCGCTGGCGGACCTGTCGTCGCGTCTGAGGGCCATAGCTGCTCCGCATCTGCTTGTGTGCATGGTACGTGCATGCCTACGCTCCCTGCTTCTGCCCGCTGCCACGCTGGCATGAATGCGTGCTGGCATGAATGCATGCTGACACGAATGGGTGCTTGCATGTGGTTGCTATGCATGCATTTGGTTGCCATGCCTTGCCTACATGTTGAGTGCTCATGCCAACTGACCACTTTGTAAGCTTGTGGTTCTCCTCAGCTCCTAATTTTTTGTTTTCAGTTCTCCTCCTCTCCTCCCCTATCCTTTCCTCTTTTCTCCTCTCCTTTCCCCTTCCCCTCCAATCTCCTGTTAACCAATCCCTTGTACCGTTCTCATTACTTGACCCATCCTTTATGTTCTCCTCTCCAATCCACTCCTTCTCTTCTTCCTCCGCCTCCGCCTCTGCCTCCTCCTCTGCCCCTCCATCAGGGCAACATGAGGGCATCACTCACAGCGCTACAAGCAGCGGCCTCTGCTCTCTCAGCCATTGTTGCCACTTCGTGAGTGATCTTCCTTGCTTGCATTCCTTTGCACTCCCCTGCATTCTCCTGCACTCCCCTGCACCTGCCTGCCATTTGCGTCCTTGTGCATTTCTTCACGTCCCCCTCACCCCTTCTCACAGCTCTTACTCCTTCCTATCGTTCTCCCATTCCGATTTCGTTCCCTTCCCTTCCCAGCCTTGACTCCCGCCGTGCTATTCCCACCTCACCTCTTCCCTTCCTCCCTGCTTCCCATCCCTAATTCGCTTGGACACTTCCTCCCCTCTCAATCCTTCAGCACTCCTTTTGCTCCCCCACCCCATTCCCTCAAAGCTGCTGCCAACGTTTGAGACGCCTCAAAAGTCATTCCCACTCCCTCATCTCGTTCACAGGAGTGAGGACGAAGCGGGTGGAAAGCTACTGCCATCGACTGGTGGCGAGCGCATGAGAGCAGAAGAGAAATACCTACAAGCAGAATCACAGGTGTGCAGTTTTCTCTCTTTAGATGTCTCAGAAGGTGCGTTTTTTCTCCTTACCATCTCGCTTCCTTCCTCACTCTTGCACGTCCCCTCACCCTCCCATACTCTCTCACTTCCTCCATCTGTCGCTCCGTGCACTGCCAATGGCTGTGTGTGTGTGCTGCCCAGTCTCAGCGCATCCAAGCTCCAGTTCAGCAGCCTATCTCCCGCCCCCATTGCCTTGCTTACCCTGACCCCTGGTGAACCGCCCACCTTTTTCCTTCCCTCCCAGTTAGCTACTGATCCCCCCCCCCTGCCTCCTCCCTCCCCTTTCTCTTCCATTCCATCTCCTTTCCCCATGGAACGCCTTCAGATGAAGCGAGCAGTGGCGATGGCAGATAAAGCACGGGCCGAGTGGGAGCATCTCAACTCCTTGCCTTTGTAAGGATCCTCTCATTGCTGCTCTTCCAGTCTTAGCTCATGTCGTTTCGTCTTGTCTCATCTTATACATACATACTCACCAGTTGACATCATTCTTTCCCTTCCCTCTTCTTGTGCTCTATGCTTAGGAACAAAGCAGAGGTGGTTTTTTTTTCAACAAGGAAAAAACAGGGGCTGATTACTGCACGCTTCCCTTCCTATCCATCCTACGTTCGTTCTCTTCTTTTATTTTTTCTTCTTGTCTCTTCTCTTCCCTCCTGTTCTCTTCCCTTGTCCCGCTTCTTCTGTACCTCCTCTTCACCCCGTTTGCCTTCCTCTCCTCTCATCTCATCTCCTCTCCTCTCCTCTCTTCTCCCTTCCTCCCTGCAGGTTCCCAGAGGGCAGTGATGACCCTGACCACAGGCAGCTAGCACAAGCCCTGCAAGACATGGAAACCATGAAGCTCGAGCTTCTAGGCTTGCCCACACCCACCCTCCTGTATCACTCCCACCACACCCACCACCATCACCACCAACAACAGCAGCACTTCAACAGATCACGTGACCAGCAGCAATCCTCGTCGCCCTCCTCCTCTTTCTCCCCGTCTGTTTCGCTCCCTCCCACCTACCGCCGCTCCTCTCCGTCCTCCCATTGGCCCGGGGCTGCCATGGCTGCTGGAATGCGTTCCTTCAATCTCGGAGCTTCTCTTTCTAATCCTCTCTCTGGTAGTCTCAGTAGCCCCAGCTCCAGTTCCCGCTCCCCCCGAACCTCCGACTTTGGCCGTTCTGCCTCTGCTTCGTCCGACGGCCTGGGAAGGACAGGTTCGGACCGAAGCGGCCATCAGATGCCGCGACACGAGAGTCTCTTCGGTTCCATGCTTGGTTCGGTGGGCGGTGACCATCAGCAGGATCGACCGAAGTTGAGCCAGCGAATGGCAGCGGCAGCAGCTAGGGCTGCTGCGGCGGCAGCATCGGCAGCTGGGAATCTGAGCAGCAGTGCTGCTGCTGCCGCTGCAGGCGTCGGTGTTGGCGTTGGTGGTGTTGGCGTTGGTGGTGGTGGTGTTGGTGGTGGTGGTGGCGGTGGTGGGGAGTTTGGTGGGGAAAGGGATGCGAGGGGTAGTGTTGCTCCCGAGGATGAGTAGAGAGGTTGAGAATGCTGGGGAGAAGATAACAGGGCGTTTGAGTGGGTGCGGGGAAGGGGAAAGTGGGGAAATGGTGAGGATCAGATCAGAGTGATACGGGAGGTTTACTGCATGGGTTACTGATTGCTTCTAATTGATGCTTGAATATGTATGCTATGCACATAAACTTCCTCATTTTATTTGAATGCATGGCATGGAGCTTTGACATGTCGTTTTGAGAGGTTGTGGCAAGAATGCCTCTCTCACAGCGTTATAAGCAGCAACCTCTGCCCTCTCAGCCATTGAATCAAATCCTCCTAGTACACTCCTCCCAGCAGCCGCTCTGTGTGTTCGCCTTCCCTTGCTTTTCCTAGCGTTCCCTTGCACCTGCCATTTCCACGCCTGTGCATGACTGCATGCTCACCTCACCTCACCCTTTGAAATAGCCCCTCCTTTGTTCCTTGACATGTGATTATGTGGCATGTACATTGTGGGGTTGCAGGGACGAGCTTGCGTGCCCTTCATTTTGCATGCACTAGCATCAACGTTTGCACCGGATGTGGTTAGAAAATAAGCGACGCCAAGCACTTCTAGATAACTAAGTAGGAGAAGAAGCATTTTTTGAACAGCTTAGGTGCATTAAGTAACTATGGGATCCTCTGTCTACGGCTCCGCCACAACCCGTTTGTGGGGCATTGCGGATGTGCGACGATGCTACTATGTTACAATATTTGGGAGTTCTCGCAGAAACTCCTGATCCCCCACATGTTCCACACCCACGATGAAGTTTTCGGCCACGACCATCACAGTGCGTGGCGCGTGCTCCATTCAGTGAGCACGACACCATTCTGCTCTGCTCACAGTTGTACTGAACTGAACTGTACCTGCAATCGCTAGGGTTTGCGAAAACACGCAAGCTGTCGCCTATGGCGCGGTTCGTTGCTGCCCATATGGAAATGCGTGGCAGCTCCGAATCGCGATGCTTGCACATTCGCGGCTCCACGCACCACTAGCCCAGAGGAAATGACGAACCGCCCTGTTTGTTTGTTTCCAATTCCTTTCGGCAGTGGTTTTGACAGCGCAACGTTTTGCGATCGCGTCCAATTCCTTGCGTCATATTGTTTTGCCGTTTCCCCTTTTTGAGTCCAAAATACATATTCGTTTTGTTTTAACAGGATATATCAAATCATCTCGTCGCGTCCATCGCAAAAGCGCAGCTCGGGACAAAAAAACATATACCCTCTTGGAAGGCATGCTACGTAAAGGGCATCAACCCTAAACACCATGAGGCAAGGTGTTTAGGGTTGATGCCCCCCAAATGGCTTGTCATCCGAGTGGGTTTTAGTTTTGCCACTGCCCCTATACTGAAACCAGGTAGAGTTCGTAAGTGTTCTTTAATCCATCTGGTCACGAAAAATGGGAAATAACGAGATCGACTGCCCGTGGGAATCGGACGCGATCGCGGAGCGGGTTGCTGTCAAAACCACTGCCCGTTGGAATTGAAAACAAGAAAGCACCGGAGTCCGTCATTTCCTCACTAGCCCAGCACCTCCTCCACTCGCCCCGAGAAAAGGATGATCTCATCCCACTGGATTTTCGTCTCATTCGCGCCTCGCCTCCACACCTCCCTCCTCCCTCCTGTGCAACCCCTCACGCACCCGTCCTTTTTTGCATCTCCCCAACAGCCCACTCAAGCTGTTGGCCAGAAATGTTCTGCTTGCTCTCCACGCCCACTTCTCACCTTTCGACCATCTCCAGTGTCGTCAACGCACACGTTGGCCATCCTCGCCCCAATCTCGTCCTTCGTTTGTGCTAGCCTCACCCCATCCCCACCACCGTCTCCCCTTAGCACCCTTTGCTTCGAGAACCCAGAGCTATCAGCTCTCCGCATCGAGCGTTTCTGGCCAAACTCAGACTAACAAGAAATGTCTTTCTTGCACGAGGTTTCAATGTGTCACATTGGGTGATAGCGGTCGCTGTAGGTCCCGTCATGGAGAGACGACGAAGCGTACTTTTGCTAATCGTCCTCCTTTTAAGCTTCCTCGCATCATGTAGTTCCGTGATATTCAACGACGATAAATACCCGTCCCTCGGAGTTAACGTATGCACCGCGCCGCGCCTAGTTAAATGTAGTCCAGCGTGCAACGGCACGTCGGGAACGGAGGGCCATTATGTCGTGCCGTTCCCTCGATGTACCGCTGCAAACTCCATAAAGAGTACGTCGAGCGTGTATTGCGGCGGAAACGCCATCAGCAGGATTCAGTGCTGCAAGCTGTGCGGAAACAGGACGACGTGCAATTTCTGGCAGCACCACATCCCGTGAGTCTCGCTCCCGTGCCCTGCCACTTCACCACGCCACCTGTCAAAAGCTTGTAGTTTTCCTGCACTTTGTTATCCAACCTCGCGTTACAAGCGGTTCCATTCTGTCCCTTTCACGTCCTCCGTAGTGAAATAGCGTACGGCATGTCGAGCACGCCCGCCATCCATCACGTCCTTTCCACATCGCAAAAATCCCCCCCCCCCCCCCCCCCCCCCCCCCCCCTCCCCCTCCCCCAGACCTCTCCTTACTCCCATACCTACACCCTAACCTCCTCATCATCTCCGCGCATCCCGCGCACTCGCACCAATCTCCTCATCTTCCCCTCGCCAATCTCACCCTTGTCGCATCCCCATGCCCTCTCGTGACCGTTTGTTCCGTTTTCGCGCGTGCCATTCCAGGCCGAATCCCGCGTGCATCGGCTGCGGCGCGTGCTACATTTACCCGGCGGCCGCGCCCCCTCCCATGTGCGCCCCCACCAACATCTCTTTCAATGGCATCATGCGACTCAACGCCAATGCCTCCACGTGCGTACTCTCTCTCCCACTCCCTTTCTCCCTGTCTCATGCCCTCTCTCGTACCCTCTCTCATACCCTCTCTCATACTCCCTCTCATACCCTCACTCCCATTCCTGATGTAAGTCTTGCCACAATCCCCGACAGAAATTCTGAGTCGGCTCATATTTCTTTTTTTCCCGCAACCCCGGGCAGGCTTGGAAAGCCGTGCGCGGAAGGCAAGGACGATCCGCACTTCCGCGGCGGCCACGGCACGCGATTCGAGTTCAACGGCCTTCCCGATAGGACCTTCTGCCTGCTGACGGACCGCAATCTCCACGTCAACATGCGCATGCGCGGCTACTACGACACGCGCACCGTGGGCGCTTCGATTCTAAAGAACGGGCTCGCGATTCGCACGTGGATTAGAGAGCTCGGGATCATGTGGGTGGATTCCAAGACGCGGCGTAGCCACTCGTTTCGAATTCTGGCGCGCGACGGGAAGGATACGGCGAGAGGGAAGGGATACCTAAAGGAGATCGAGTATGGCGGACGAATTCTGCCGCTGCTGAAGGTGAGAGGAACGTGGAGGCGAGGGTGGGAGAGATTCGGAGAGCGGAGAAGAGGAGAGTGAGAGGGTCCCCGTAAGTACGATATCTCTCCCCGGATATTTGATTCAGCCCTTGGGCATCCCTCACTTCCCGCCATCTTCCCACTTCCCTCCCGCATCCAACCCCCTTCCTTTACCTTCCACTCTGCTTAATCCCCTCTCCCCTCCCCTTTCCCCTCCCCTCCCCGCCCCGCCCCCTCCCCGAACCCCGACCGCAGCTCGGCGGGCGATACGCGTTGGACGGCGGGCTGAGCTTCTCTTTCGACGCGTACGAGTCGCAGGGCGGGGGTTACTTCGACGTGGACGCGTACCACCTCGAGATTGCCGACCTCATCGACCTCGAAATCAAGCTGCGCGTCGCGCACCCGCTGCTGCAGACGCCCGACGACGCGCAGGCGCACATCAACGTGCAGTTCCTGCAGGTGCTCGGCACTCCCGAGGTGCACGGGATCGTCGGGCAGACGTACCGCGACGGCCGCGAGAAGCGCACGGTTACATTCGCGGAGCTCGCGGAGCTCACGGGGAGGCCAATTGCGGCGGACGGGGAGGAAGGGAAGGGGTTTTTAGACGGCGATGTGATTGATTACACTACGTCGGGGGTTCTACGCGCGGATTGCCGCTACACCGCGTTCAGCGGGGAGAGACGGCCGCATACCGCCGCGGATATCCTGCTCAGGCGTGCTGCGGCGGCCGGCGCAGCGGCTGTGGGTGGAAAGAGAGACGTACGGCCTCCAGTGAGTCAATCGGCGGCAGCAGCAGCAGCAGCGGCAGCAGCAGCGGCAGCAGTCAAGGCAGCGACTCCGGCGGCGGCAGCGGCGGCGGCGGCGGTGGCAGCGAGGAAAACTGCCGCTCAAGCCATTCAAAAACGGCCACAACCGGATTTGAAGTCTGCTGCTGCAAATTCCGCTGCTCATGCTGCTTCTGCTGTTGCTGTGGCTGCTGCTGCGGCGGCTGCTGTTGCACGCAATGTTAGAAGCGCCGCCACCTTGCTACAGCAGCAGCAGCAACCTTCAGTGGTTCGGGCTGTAGCAACGGCTGTAACCAGAACAGGCCCTGCTACAACCGCCACTACTGCCCCCGCTGTCAATCCCTCAGTTTCTCAAAGACCGGTTCCCAAACGTCTCCCCGTTGCAGCTGTACGTGTGGATGTGAGAGCCGGTGCAGTCACTGCAACACGCAGCATCTCGGATCGGCGCAGTAGCCCGAAGCAACCGGCAATCAGGCCAACAATCCAGCGTGCTGTTGCTGCTGCTGCTGCTGCTGCTGCTGCTGCTGCTGCTGCTGCTGCTGCTGCTGCTGCTGCTGCTGCTGCTGCTGCTGCTGCTGCTGCTGCTGCTGCTGCTGCTGGTACTGCAGCAGCAGTGGTAGTACCTCCATCTGCGCCTAGAGGTGGTGCTGCTGGTGGCACTCCGCCGATTGCCAAGCCTGCTGCTGCCGGCGTCGGTGTTGCTGCTGGTGCTGGTCGGTCTGGTTCCGCTGCTGGTGCTGCTGCCGGTGTTGCTGCTGGTGCTGGTATGGCTGCAATAATTCCAGGCACGAGTGGGAGTGCTACGGTCAACAGAGCGCCTGCCGTGAAAGCAGTGGTTGTTGAGAGACGAGTGGGCAATGTTTTGAGAATACCTGGGCCCACTCGGCAGCCCGGCAGGAAAGCGGCAGGGTTGATAGGAGTGGGGGGGAGTTCGGTGGTTACGTTGCAAGAACGAGGGGCAAGAAGTGTGGTGGTGCGACCCGGAGGAGAGAGACCGGTGGCTCCAGTGCAAAGAAGGCCAGGAGGAGCGGCAGCAGGAACGGCTACAGGAGGACCAAAAACAGGAACAGGAACAGCAGGAGGAGGAGCAGCAACTACATGAGCAGAAGTACGAGCAGCAGCACAACTATGCAGCAGCAGGGGGGATCAGCAATATAAGGAGGAACATCAAGTGGAGCCAGAAAAGCTCTGCCGAATAACAAAGGCCCGACGAGTCCCTTGGCAGCTAGCAGAGGTTGCAAGAGACAGAGAGAGCTAGAGCAGCAGCAGTTGATGCTATGCGGCTGCTCCTGCAAATAATAGCAGGAGGGATGCTAGCTACAGCTATCAAGGCAAGCATACAAGGAGGGAAAATGGGTTTTTAGGTGTGCGCTAACTGCTTGTGTACCCTCCTTGCTGAGCTCTGCCGTAGCAACCGGAGCATACCTGTTACCTCCACAGGAAGCAGCGGTTGTCTTGTTTTATATTGCATGTTCCATAGCTGTTACTTTCCTTTGCCCCCATTCATTGTTCAATTCTTATATTGAACCATTCATCGCACTTCTTGATCACACAAAATCATGAACCGTATTAGATTAATCCTGCACCTCCCAACCCAATTTGTGTGTTCGATCATTTGTTCTTTTTGCTTGTGGGTGTACTAAACGATTTCCTGGTATAATATCCAAGCAACCGGCAGTACAACTACTTCAGCCTTCACTGCAAAGATTCATAACAGCATGTGCTTATGAACTTGACATATACCGGTAACAGAAACACAGACAGCATACACCCTTGCCATGAGAATCAGATCCATCCGCACCGTTCAAACACGATGCTTCATCATCACATCATATGGATACGACACCATTCAAACACGATGCTTCGCGTAAGTCCTTTTATTCAGAATCCTCCTCTGTCCGCAGCATGGGTGTACCCTCCCCTCCCTGCCCATGTGCACCTGAGCCTGAAGCTGTCGCGCTGAGCTCACTCGCTCCTGTCTGACGGAAACGGCCGAGCAACAGACCAGGAGAGAGGGGGAGGGGAGGGGGGAGGGGAGGGGGAAAGGGAGGGAGAAAGGGAAGAGGAGGGGGCGAGGGAGGGAGGGAGGGAGGAGAGGGAGGGATTAGCAGAGACGATGCACGCAGGAAGGCCAGGGAGAATGTGGAAAAGAGGCAAGAGACAAGGGATGTGGGAAGGAAAGTGTGTATGGGACTCGAGACGCAAGCAGAGGGGAGGTGGAATAGCGGAGGTTTCAATGAGTGCTTATGAGACGTCTGAAAACACTAGTGAGGGGTTTGTGGTGTATGCGATACACTAGAGGAGAACGGGAACATTATCTTAGTGTCAAGGGCAGGGAGCGGCACGGCAGCAGCAAGGGAGTGGAACAGCAGCAGCAGGGGCGCACGGAGCAGCAGCAGGAACGCACCATGCTCTGTGTGTACGACCCGGTAGCCAGCAAGGCGGGCAGCCAGGGAGCGCAGGCGGGGGCGGGACGAGAGCAGCAGCAGCACGAGAGGCAGTAGCGTGAGAGCAGCCGCCACCGCCAGCACCGACGCTGAGGGCACCGTCAGATGAACCAGATCCGAGAAATCCCTGCCCTTCCCCTCTCCTCCAATCCCATCCCCACTTCCGCCGCTGCTTGCACCAGCGCCCCCCTGTGCGTTGCCCCCTTCCGTGGTCCCTTCTTCCCATAGTCCTTGGCTCTGGCCGTGCGCCTGTCCCTGCTGGTGACTGCTGCCTGCTGTGCTGCTGCCTGTGGTGCTGCCTGTGAAGTGAGAGCAGTCCGCGGAGGCAAAGAGGCGGTCACAGATGCACGTGCCAGTCGCCACATTGCATGTGCCCGACCCACTGGCAGGGGAGGGAACGGGAACGAGGAGGGGAAGGGAATCAGGGTAGAGCGCAGGGAGGCAGGGGAAGGGAATCAGGGCACTTATACACACCATCTAGCAACGAATTGGCAACGAATCCATCCCATCAAACGCACACCTTACATTGGCAACGAATCCATCCCATCAAACACACACCTTACATTGGCAACGAATCCGTCCCATCAAACACACACCTTACATTGGCAACGAATTCGTCCAACAACAAACAAACCCCTCCTTCACAACATCGCCCTCTACCCCCCGACCACCAACCACAACCACCACCCCCAAATCATCCTCACCTGCAGTCGTTCGGACACAGCTTCGGCACAGCCAGCACTTTTGAGAACCCCCAGAGGTGATTCCATCAACCACCCAGGACGGTTCCCTCCCTATGCCTTCCTCACCTGCAGTCGTTCGGACACAGCTTCGGCACGGCCAGCAGCCTCCTCCTGCCCTCCCTCGCCTCCTCCGGCTCCCTCTGCCCTGCCGCCAGCACCCAGAACCGCCCTCCAGCTGACAGCCCCAGCACCTCTGGCTGCTCCTGGAGAAACGCCTTGGCGGGAGGGAGAGCGAACGCCCCAGACGTGACTGCCATGGCTTGGTAGGAGACGGTGTGCGTGCCGGCGGGGAGGAAGGGGAAGGCGAAGCGCACGTGGGAGGGGCGCGTGGTGCGGGAGTGCCAGGGCGCCCACCAGAGGGACCAGAGGGACGTGGGGCTGCTGTCGGGGGTGGTTTGCCTGGAATGGGGGGAGCGGAGAGGGCGAGGAGGAACGGGAATCGGACAGAAGTGAAAAGAGGAATTGGGGTGTTAGCAGAAGGAGATGGCAGGGTGGAACTTGAAGGCACACGCTGGAACAACAGGTAGAGAAGGAGATGGCATGGCATAGCATGGCATGGGACGGCATGGGACGGCAGGGATGGGCGCACTGTTGTGAGGGCAGGTCGGGGTCGAGGGGTTCGAGGCCGGCAGGAGGGAGGTCGAGAATGACGAGGTTGCGAGCATCGTCTGGTGTGGTCACCTGGATGGTCACCGTCACCACCACTCCCACTGGCGCCTGGTGGTAAGTGGATGCGGGAGGGGTTGAGAGGAGGGGGCGGGAAGGAGATTAGGAGGGGGATGATGGGGGAGAGAGTGAGTGGGGAGCAGGGAAGCAGGAACAGGAAGAAAGGAGGGGAGGATGAGCAGGCAAGCTTTGCCATCATAAATGGTGCAAGATTCAGGGATGGGGATGGGGATGGGGATGGGGATGGGGATGGGATGGAGATGTCATGCTCAGGTCATTCTTCTCTGATTAGTTGGTTGGACAGACGAGGGATGCGTGGGGCGAAGAATGACGACGGGAGGTTGGTGGTTGGTAAATCTATTTTTGAGTCGACTCAAAAATAGACTCATCACACGGGAGGTTGGTGGTTGGTAACACGCGAGCATGACGGAGAATGCCTAGGGCAGGGAGGCTAGTGGTGAGGAGTAGAGCGTGAGGAGGCGTGGGAGAGAAAGGGTAGAAAGGAAAGGAACAGTAACGAAACAAGACAGGCTGCAGAAAGCAAGAAAGAAAGAGGGGCACAGGAACCGTACAGAGGAAGTGGGAGTGGAAGATGGCATTTGCAGCAGAGGAGCTGCTGTGTCCACGGAAGCAGCAGCGGCGGCAGGTGCTTTGAAGGAGAACATCTTTTCGACATAGAGGCCTCGGTATGTGGGGAAGGGGAGAATGCTGCCTGGGATGAACGACAGTGCCACTGATACCGACACCTGAGGGCGGATGGGATGGGATGGGATGGGATGGGATGGGATGGGATGGGATGGGATGGGATGCGCGGATGGAAGAGGAGCAGAGTGGACGGGACGGTAGGGGAAGGAAGGAACGGGAAGAGGGGGAGGAGAGAGAGGGTGAGGAGGATGGGCAAGGGCACAAACAGTGGAGAGCAGTGCAGTGGAGTAGAGAGTCGATAGGGGAGGGACGAGCGGGCAGGGCGGATGGTTGAAAACAAGGTGGGGGGAGGGCGTTACCTCGCCTGTGCCCTGTGCGTCAATGAGCAGAGAGGAAGGGACGCGGCCAGCAGCAGTGGCCCACGGCACAGATGCAAACACAACCGCTGCTCCCGCTCCCGCTCCTGCTCCTGCAGCTGCTACTGCAGCTGCTGCTGATTGCGCATCAAGCACAGATGGAGAGAACACATGCGAGAGAATGGTGGTGGCAGTGGTGGCAGCAGCACCAGCTGCTTCCCCACTCCCATCAGAACCAGCAGCGGCAGCACCAGCAGCGGCAGCACCAGCAGCAGTGGAGATGGGAGCAGAGGAGACAGTGAGGACGAGGTGAGGGGCCGTGCTGCCGCGCTGCATGTCGTAGCGGGTGAGGGCGAGCGCAGAGAGAGCATGCTCTGCCCATGCGCCATAGGCTGTTGCAGATGCACGGTCCGTGCCGGCCACGTGGTTGGCTAGCTTCTCCACCAGCGGCGAGTCACAACCCGTCTGTTGGGGTATGGGGTAGAGGCAAGGCAAGGGGCAGAGGCAAGGGGAAGGAAAAGGGCGAAGGTTCAGTAAATACGTGTGGGATGGATCAGGAAGGGTTGCGGTCCGTGCCGGCCACGTGGTTGGCTAGCTTCTCCACCAGGGGCGAGTCACAGCCCGTTTGCAGAGGTAGAGGCAAGGCAAGAGGCAGGGGCAGGGGCAGGGGCAGCGGCAGCGGCAGGGGCAGGGGGAGAGGCAGAGGCAGGGGCAAGGGCATGTGTAAGGGGAACATCAAGGGCAAGGGCGAAGGCTTCGCAAAGGCATGTGGAATCGATTGGGATTGGAAAGGGGTGTGATAAATGGGGAGAGTGGGAAGGGCAGGCAAACACGAAGAGTTATGATGTTCATTTCCGTGCGGGCTGCTTCTCTCCTATGGTGGTTACACCCCAGCAACGCACGCACCGCACCGCAAAGCACCACAACCCACCACACCCCACAGCCCTCCACCGCACCCCACACCGAACCAAACTGTACAGCACCCAACGCACCTCCACAAGTAGCAGCAGAGCGAGCGCATTGGCAGTTCCCCCGGCAGAGAAAGGCGTGCTGGCAGCAGCAGTGACATACGCCGTACGACCCAGCACCCTCATGCTGTTGAGCGTCCATGTCACCGCCAACCCCACCGCCTCTGCTGCTTCTGACTCTGCCTCCTCCTGCGCTCCTGCTCCTGCGGCTGCGTGCCTGCTGCTGCTGCTGCTGGTTCGAAGGAGAGCGGCAGGGTCCTGGTGGCCCTCTTTTGCTTCGAGAACGAAGGCCAGAGCTGCGCAGAGCTTGCCGAGAGGAGAGAGGCTGGCGAAGCGGTGCTTGAGGGACGTGAAAAGGAGAGGGGAGACCTTGGCAGCTGTGGGAGGAGGGGAGGACGCGGAATGAGGAAAAGGAGGGAAGGATGGAGTGGGAAGGGAAGGGGAGTGGGAGGAGAACAGAACGAAGGACACGGTGGTGTTGGGTGGGTGGGTGGGGGGGGGGGGGGGGATGGATACATTCGCCCACGTGCACACAGAGCACACAGATACACACGCATGTGCGCAGCACGCACATACTCACACGCGCGCACACACACACATCATGCACGCACTTGCATATGAAACCACGCACACATCTTCTCAGCAAGAGCACCGACCTCGGGAAAGAGGAGGCGGGGACGTGCCGAGGCCCAGCCAGAGGTAAGGAACGAGCTCCCAGTCAAAATAGAGCAGGCGGCGAGATGACGGTGAACCAACACCCTCCTCTGGCGCAACCCACGCTGGCTCCGGCATAGCTCCTCCAATCTCCACACCTACCGCCCCTCCCATCTCCCCTCCTATTGCCCCTGCCATTCCCCCTCCGGTTGCCCCTCCCACCTCTCCTCCAAATGCTGGTTTCCCCATAACGGCTTCCCCAATAGCAGCCTCCTGGCCTTCCCATCCCCTCCCCGCCTGTCCCTCAAACCCCACGGTGCCTATCACACTGCTCGCCACACCCTCTTCTTCTCCCGTCTCTCCTCCCTCGAAGGACTCAGCAGTTGCTGCTGACTCTCCCTCTTCGCTTTCCTCTTCTCCCTCCGCCGTCGCAACACCCTCCTCCTCCCTCTCCTCTGCTGGGTCATCAGCAGGAACAGCTCGAGCCACAGCAACAGCAGGCCTGGGTTCACCTGGAATCACTTCGCCCTCGGGAATGCGGGCCCAGAGCAGGCGACGATGCACAAAAGCAGAGGAGGAGAGGACAGCAGAAGCAGACGATGATGATACCACTGAGTCTCCCAACTCCCTACCCTCCACATCCTGCTTCTGCTTCTGCTTCTGCTTCTGCTGCTGCTGCTGCTGCTGCTGCTGCTGCTGCGTCTCCTCCTCCTCTTCCTCGTCCTTCCCCCCGCCCTCGGCATCACCCTTCTCCTCCTCGTCCACAATCCCTTCCTCCTCCTTCCGCTTCCTCTCCTGCTTCTCTTCCTCCTCCACCTCTCGACTCCTCTGCTCAATTGCACGCCTCTCCATCTCACTGAGAACCCCCTTCAAAGCAGCCCTCCATTTGCCAGTCACGGATTTGGGGATGGGGGATGCGTTCAAAAGGGAGAGGTAGCGTGAAACCATGATGCCATAGGCGTTGAGACGGATATCGGTGTATCGGTTTGGGGTGGGTGTGAAGGGATCGTCCACGAGGCCTGCAAAGGGGGGGGCATGCGGGTGGAAGGGAGGAGAGATGGGGAGGGGGGATGCGTTCAAAAGGTAGCGCGATACCATGATGCCATAGGCGTTGAGACGGATATCGGTGTATCGGTTGGGGGTGGGTGAGAAGGGATCGTCTACGAGGCCTGCAAAGGGGGGGGCATGCGGGCGGAGGGGAGGAGAGATGGTAGTAGGAGACGTGGTTTGAGATGATGGCAGAGAAATGATATCAGGGAGACGGCACGGCAGGCACGGTGTGACAGAGCATGCGAACAGAAACAATTGAGGGGTGTCTCTTCTTGAGGCGTCCGCGTGTAGTGAGTCGATTTTTGAGTCGACTCACTACACGCGGATATCAGGGAGACGGCACGGCAGGCACGGTGTGACAGAGCGTGTGATGCGAACAGAAACAATCGAGGGGTGTCTCTTATTGAGGCGTCCCCAAAATAGGACGAGCGAGCAGGCAGAAGCAGGCAGAGAAGCACATACCACAGCATTGCAGCGTGTACGATTGCAGTCGCGCCCGAGCCAGGGCATCTGCACTCCTCGCTTCACTCAACACCGCACTCCCTCCTCCCGCAGCCCCCCCACCAGCACCACCTGCTGCTGCCGAAAACAGCGACTTGAAAGCGGACCATGCAGAGTGAGCCGCGGAGGAGGAAGAAGAGGGGGACGTGGCGGAGTCGTATTGGTGGAGGAGTGCGGAGGGGAGGAGGGACCAGAGGAGGTGCGTGGCGGAGGGGTAGGGCTGGTCTGACCAGGTGTTGAAGTGGAGCAGCGAGGAGGAGAGCTGCAGCACTGCTGGCAGGCGGCCAACTCTGGGGGTGGGGGGGGGGTTGGTGCAGGGGGACACGGGGAGGACAGGGGGAGATTGGGGAGAATGTTGAAAACAGGGGGTAAGGGGAGAAAGGGGGAGCAATGGTGGTTACATGTCAGGAGTGTGTAACATAAAGGCAGGCAAAGTTCGACAGCTGACAGGTTGAAAGAAGTGGCTGATCAGGAATTAGGGAGAGCAGAGCAGCAAGAGGGTATGTGGCAGAATAAACTGCTCTTTGAGTCGACTAAAAAAACAGGGTATATGACAGAACGAATTTGATGATGGCACGTAAGGCCTGGACTGGACAGCAAGCGGAGGAGAGCAAAGAGGAGAGCAAAGAGCATGGCATGATACTCACCCTGCAGTGACGTTCAGCTGGGCGCTCCCTGGGAGAACATCACTGGGTAGAGCGATCTGCTCCTGCCACTGCCCTGCCAGCCCCGCGAAACCCCCTGGCTGTGCATCCCCACTAGCGGCAGCAGCAGCAGCAGCAGCAGAGTTGGAGACGGGTGCATGGCCCTGCACTGCAAGACTGCTTGCCACTGTCACTGCCTCCTGCACTCCCTCCACTTGCAGTGGCACCACCAGCACTGGGGGAGGAGAACGGTGGGGGCAGGGCGGGGCACGGGGGCACGAGATGAGCTTAACAGGAGTGTAAGAAGCGCCACAGCCCACAAACTACTGTTATTTGGAATGGGAGGCCGTATTATGGACCAAGTCAGGAAAATATGAAACATGGAAGAAATGTGTGAAGCACGTAGGCAGGGAAAGGGAACTGGAGACACACACATCATTCCCCCTCTTCCCTTCTTCTCCCCACAACAACCCCCCTTTTCCCCCCATACCCTCCCACATTCCCTTCACCCAAACACACGCAGAACGATACTGGATAGTGCAGGGAAAAGAGTAGGAGGAGGAAGGAGGTAGGGGCCACGGCGAAGCTTGGCAATACCATCAGGAGGAAGGCCGGGTGACTGCACTGTGAAGGAGAGAGCGATAGCCCCCACCACTGATGCTTCCATGTTGAACCGCACCTGCAGAGGTTGCACGTTGCACACACACAGCACGACACAAACGAACACACACGCATTTTGAGGCGCCTCAAAAGGAGAGAGCGATGGCCCCCACCACTGATGCTTCCAGGTTGAACCGCACCTGCAGAGGTTGCACGTTGCACACACACAGAACACACACACCAACGAACACACACGCATACACGGGCGCAGCGCATTGGTTGTGTGGATACGGAATGCAGGGTGGTGGTGATAAGAGGTGAGGGAGGGAGGACTCTCTTTTATGGATGGCACACTCTCTTCTATAAAGGGAGGCCAGGGCAGCGGGGCAAGGGAATGGCAGCACAGGAGAACCAGGACTCCAAAGCAGGTGGGAGTGGAAGCAGGTGCAGGAGGTAGTTACAGCGGGCGGGGTTGGGAGTAGGAGCGGAAGTGGAATGGGAGAGCAAGGAAGGGGAAGGGGGAGCGGAAGAAGGAAATTGCCCGATAGGTAGATGATAGAGCATACCTCCAGAGGGCCCGTTGGGAAGACCGTGTCGTCTTTCTCATTCAGCCCCACCACCTGCACCACACCCCTCCTGCCACTCATCGCACCGCCACTCCCATCAGCAGGGTCCGAAGACACAGGTGCCACCACAGCAACAGCCACAGTCACAGGCATCCCCACACCCGTCCCCTCTCCCATCCCCCGTCCCTCTTTGCCACCATCCGCAGCCCCTGCTCCTCCTGCTTCCCCTGCTCCTCCTCTCCCTGCCGCTGCCTCCAGCATCGTATCAGCCAGGGTTCGATCGAGATTGACCGTGACGCCTGCTGTGAATCTGTCCCCTGCTCGCACCATGCGGGGCACAGATGGGACCAGGGCGAGGGGGCGAGACGCTACTAGCTCCGTCTCCGCTGCTCCGAACCTGCTGCTAGCTCCGGTGACAGCGTAGGCTCGGAGAACGAACGTGGAGATGGAGTCAGGGAGGCGGAACCGGAAGGTGGCAGTGGCAACACGAGAGGAGGAGGAGGCAGAGGAAGAGGTGGTGGTGATGGGTGCGGTGGCAGTGCGACAGAGCGGAGTGATGGTGAAATTAGTGCGTTTCTTGGCAAGAGCTAGTGCTGAGCCACCAACACCAGCACCAGCACCGGCAGCAGCAGCAACACCAAGTGAACCGCCCATGTCGTTCGCCATCTCGGCAGATGCAGACTCGCGTGCATCCATAGCGGCCATTTTAGGCATGGCTGCTCGCATCATCATCACACCGTTGTTCCCTGCAGCGCCTCCGGCAGCAAAGGAGGAGACAGCAGCAGAACCTACTCGAGAGACCGAGTCCATTGCCATAGCAGTGGCCATGGCAAAGCCTCTCTTGCCTCGGCCCCTACCGTACCTGCCGTACAGCATCGGGCCATCAGCGTCGGATCCTGCAAGGCAGGGGAGGGAGGAATGGACCAGAGAGGCAGAGAGGAGCAGAGAGCCATGGAGTGAAGTGAAGTTTATCAGCTGCACTTGGTGTAAAGCAGAGAAAGACAGACACGGGGTGGGAAGCAGGAGAGCTGCCTGCGGAAATCTACCATTCACATTCATCCGTATTTGAACTCATGTGGACAAACGCAAGCGCAAGGCACGACGAGTCACGAGACGAGTACCTTGGGTGAAGTTATCAGCGATGGAGTTGAAGCAGAGCTCCTGAGAGGAGGGCAAGCCGCCTGCTGCACCCATCCACCACTGCGAGCGGCCACTGCTGCCCATCCAATCAGATGGCCTGCACACACAACCGGTGAGTGGGACACACAGCAGCAGCAAGCAGCAGCAGCGGCAGCGGCGGCGGTGGCGAATGCACAGATAATGGGGTGTGGATGAGCTTTTGTGGTTGTCGATACAAATCCAATCAGGGAATGTGGTGTGGTAAGCTCGAGTGGGAAGGAAAGGTGTACGAGGGGAGAGGAGTAGAGAAAGGAAAGAGAAAAAAGCCAATGGGTGTGTTACAAAGGATAGCAGCAGTGAGCACGAATGAGAGGTAAGTAAGCACTTGCTACTGTTGCCAAGGCCAAGCACTGCCACTTACTGCAGCCAGGGGTTTTTGTTGCGCCTGCGGCGATACGCCTGTGCGAGGGCGTGGATAGCAGAGGGGTTGAGCATGGCATCGTGCGATAACACGGCCAGGGAGGGCGATGCGTAGAACTGCGACACTGGGTTGAACTCGGCTGTGGGGTCCGACAGAGCGTGCGGCATCTGGTGCAGTCGGGGCGGGCGGGATGGGAGAGGACAGCCAGAAAGGAAGGCAGCTTTTCGATCAACTCAGAAATCGCCTCTTTTGAGTCGACTCAGAACTGCGACATCGGGTTGATCTCGAATGTAAGGTCCGACAGAGGGTGTGGCATCGGGTGCACACGAGGCGGGAGGGAGGAGGGAAGAGCGAGGACAGACAGAAAGGCAAACGTGCTAGGGGTGAAAAGGCACGGATGGGGGAGGGAGGTCATGTTGGGAAAGGTCGAACAAAACGGGACTCTCCAACACAACAACTCCTAGACCATCAGCCCCGCCATGTCAGCCTTGGTGACATCAGCCTCATGTGTTTCACGGCACGTGGCGGTTCGAGTAAGAGACTCACCAGGTCGAGGAAGGCCTTGTCGACTGCCACCAGCAGCACCTGTGCACATACAGCAATGGAATGGACAATGGCCACGCAACCAGGCCCCTCTTGTGCCACTCATGGCATGTATGCAATGCACCCTCCTCTGATCCACCGCCTCACCAGGTCGAGGAAGGCCTTGTCGACGGCCACCAGCAGCACCTGCACGTCCTTGTCTGGCACGGGTGCGTGGCCCTGGGAGGTTCCGTCCAGCCCTGTCACTCGCACTGCTACTTCCACCTCACTGCCTGATGATACATGGCCTGAGGGAGCACCCTGGAATACAGGGGTTGAGGGGAGGAAACGATGAGCAGGGTTGGTGTGCAGTGCGGTTCAAGGGGGTGGAGGTGTAGCTCGAAGGGGTTGTCAGGTTCAGAGTTCACAGAGTGGAATGCGGGCCAAGGTGCGGTGTGGGAAGGAGCTGTGGAAAGAGGGGGCAACGAGGGACGACTAAGGGTAGAAGGAGAACCAAGGAAAGAAAGAGGGGATTTGGGGGAAGGCGGGGGAAAGATACACAGAACCAGGCAGAGCAAGGAGGGGGTGGCGGGTGGTGGGGGGCAGGTCCAGGAGAAAGAGGTGGATGTGGGGAAAGTGGGGGGGTTCGAGTCTGACCATGGGAGAGGAGGGAACAGAGCTTACAATGTTAAGCGAGAGGCGAGGAGGAGGCGTCAGAGTGACGCGGAGAGTCAGGTGCAGCGTGAACGATGACGGTCCTGCAAGGTCAGCAATCACCGTAGTGGGCACCTTCTCAGCTGCCCCTCCCTGCAGAGGATGCGAGCCCTGTCGAGGCGACACCACCACCACTGTCACCGCACACCCTGGCGGCGGCCCACTCCCAGGTGCATTTGCATTTGCGCTTCCAGACACCCTCCTCCCACCACACTTCTCATCTACCACCACTGGAAGCTCCACCATTCCTCTCGCGAGCCCGCTGTGCAGCTCGCGCCACACCTCGGCCTTCGCTGCCTGGCCTGCTGTCACCTGCACTAAAGCCGATGCCCCCTCGTATGGGTTTTCGAATCGGAGCGTGGCTGTTTCGCCTAAAAGGTAGGATGGCTTGTTGAAGGTGCCGGTGGGTGGGGGGAGGGAGAAGAGCGGACAGGCCTGCCACTCCTGGAGGGGTGAGATTCGGAAGGGAAGGGGGGGAGGTGTGGGAGGCGGGAAGTGGGGGGGGAGGCGGGATAGGAGGATTGGATGAGAATGAATAGGGAGCTGGAGGGGGAACAACCAGAAAGAGGGAAAGGCAAAGCGGGGATGTATGAAGAGGTGAGAAACGATGGGAATGAGCGGAGAGGAGGGGATGGTGGGGAGGCAAGGCACCAGAGAGGAGAGCGGACCTGCAGGGTTCTGCCAATGCGTCTAGAGGTGCATGCTTTAGTCCCCTCATGGTCCGTGATGCATGCGAGAAGCCGAGCCCGCCCCACATCCGGCAACACAAACCCACACCCAGATACAGCCTCCCCCACCCCTTCCGCCCCTGCCGCCCCTGCTGCCCCTGCTGCTCCTGTTGCAGCACTACCGGCAGCAGAAGCAGTGTCCAAGCTCGCAGTGGAGGATAGAGTGACGTTGCAGGAGGACACCTTGTGCTCTTTCCATGAGACAACCGCTCCTGAGGCGTCTGTCACAGTGCGATTCAGCACCAGCGACAGCGTCACAACGGAAGGAGCAGACCCCGCCGCACCACCACCACTGCCGCCGCTGCTCGTGGAAACAGCAGCACCACCAGGCGCAGCGAACCGCCCTGGCATGTCCGAAACAGCAACATCGCCACCAAACCCCACAGCATCATCATCCATTCCCCCAGCAGCAGCGGCGGAGTCGAGCAGGGAGAAGAGGCGCGCAGAGGCGTGGAAGGGCTGACCCGGGACAGGGTCGCGCACAGAGAGAGCAACGCGCGTGGACCAGGATGAGAGGGCCACGGGGAGGGTTGTGGCGTCGGATAGGAGCTCTCTGGTGGGTCCTACCCACTCTGCTGTGAGGGAGAGAGATCCCACCTGGAGGGGGCGCGGGGGAAATCGGGGATGGAGGGGGGAAAGGAGGGAGCAGGGTGGGGTGGGGAAAAGGGAGAGAATAGGGGCAGGATGTGAAGGGAGGTGGGGTAAGAAGGGGCTTTACTGGGAGTTTGAAAAGCAAGTGGAAGCAGAAAGCGAAAGAATGAAAAGACCAGAGGTGGGAAAAGGGGGTAGAGGGGGGGTTGGTGCTGGGCTGTAAGGATGTGAAGCGAGTGGGGTGGGCCGACAAGGAAAGAGGGCGGGGAGTTAGCACCGTGGCGAGGTGTAAGCACAGCACACAGCCCCACCCACCCTACCTGTGTCCTGGTGGGTTCAGCGAGTGCAGCATCTATATCCAGTACTGCCACACCCACGCCACTGCTGTTGGTGCGCACAACCACCACTCCCGACTCACACGCCCGGCTCACAAACCGACTCCCCCGCACATACCCACTCCCCGCATCCTTTTCCCCTCCTCCCCCCTTTCCACCCCTACACTCCGCCCCCTTCCCCTCCCCCGCTCCTCCTCCCTCTGACGAAACCGACTCACTCCCTCCTCCTCCACCTCCTCCTCCTCCTCCCCACCATCTGTTCATCGTCCATCCAGCGTCCTCGCCCCCGTCCTCCTCAGCCCTCTCATATGCAAACTGCCACGTCACCTTCACCTCTTCTCCTGCCACAGGGCCTCCTATGTACGTCCGTGTGGTTACCACCACCTCCACCCCCCGCCCAATCCTCGCCACAGCATCAGAGGCGGACAGAGAGAGAGTCACAGTGGGCGGCCGGGGGTCGCTGATTTGGAACGAAGCGTATCCGTCTACCCACAGGTTGTTGTTTCCCTGCTGGGCTAGCTCGAGTTGGAGAGAGGCGGAGCCGGTATCAGTGGTGGTAGAGAGCGGGATGTCTGCTTGGAACGTGCCGAATTGCGGGTGGATGGTGATGGGGATTCGCTTGGGGGTTTCGGAGTTGGGAAGGTTGCAGCTTAGGACGAGGCGGACGGATGGCTTGGGAAGGAGGAGCTGCAGCACAGGGGGTAGGGAGGAGGGGAGGTGGGGAGGAGGGGAGGAGGGGATGGGGGAGGGCAGGAGAGGGTGGGAGCGGGGGAGAAGAGGAGCTTAGGGAGTAGATGGAGAAATTTGAGGGAGAAACGGATAGATCAGCGGGAAGGAATGGCACGAGAAGGTGGATGAGGCTGAGAGGAGCAGACTGCGCAAGACGGAATCGAAAAGACGGGAAACACGAGGGAAAGGGCACTGGGGACGCAAAGCAAAACACCCAAACCAGCAGCAATTGGAGGGAGAAAAGGGGGAGGGTGGGGGGCCTGGGGAAAGGAGTGGGGAGGCCGCGTCTTTCACAGACAAACGCAGGGAGAAGCAGTAGAAAGAAGAGAGTCCCGCACCTTGCCGTCAGGGCCAGGCTGCCTGAGAACGCCAAAGACATGCACGGTGTCCCCGGGGCGGTACAGCGAGCGATCCAGCACGAGAGACGCATGCAGAGGAGACTGTGAGGAGGAGGAGGACTCGAAGGAGTCTGAAGTCCCACAGGGCAGGGTGAAATCTTGGAGCAGCATGAGACGCTGGGATGAGGAGGAGTGGGAGGAGCGGGAGGAGTAGGCAACGGATGCCTGTACTGATGCCCTGCCACAGAATTGTGGCGGCACGGCTGCAAGGGGGAGAGGGGTGTGACAAGGGCGAAGGGGTAAAGAAGAAATGGGAGAAAGGACGTGGGGAGGGGAGAATGGACAGGGGACGGGAAGCAGGGGCCAGGGGGAAGGGAGGAGAAAGACAGAGGGTTGTTCTGAGGATACGGTCCGGACTCAACAGGGTCAGATGCACAGAGGTGTGTGCAGCGTCACACAGCAACAGCGAGAAGTAACAGCATTGCAAGGATTCCTGGCATTGAATTCAACATAATGGCACCAAACAAGAGGAGAGTAAAGGAGCTAGCCAGCACACGGAGCCAAGGCACAAGGGGGGAAAATCTGCAGAAGTGTTGATTGTCTGTCTGTCGGTGATCATACCGGGAAGAGCCAGCAGCACAATGCCGGATTTGTCGGTCTTGCCCGTGACTGTATCCAGCGCCACTGGATCGCCACCATCGGCCTGCAGGTGAAGGGCATGCACCTGGTGGCATGGCATTGCCGCCAGGTGGGGAATGCACACACCAACAGACATGCACGAGGTGAGTATAGGCGTGTACGGTGTACGCATGTGCAGTGCAGCCGTGTACAGCCGTGGCGTCTCATCTCATTCATGGTTGAAGATGAAGGATAGGCATGAGCAGGAAGCTAGTTTTGAGGCGCCTCAGAACTACAGCCGTGGCCTGGCCTGGCCTCTCGTGTATGGTTGAAGACTGAAGATGCGCATGAGCAGGAGGGGCTGACTTTTGAGTCGACTCAAAAGTCGATTCAAAAGGCGCCTCAAAACTACAGCCGTGGCCTGGCCTGGCCTCTCTTGTATGGTTGAAGATGCGCATGAGCAGGAGGGGGGAAGGGTTCAGGAGGGCTGCACTGAAGAAAGCAAGGCATGGAGAGATATTACCAGAGGCAGACAGGAGAAACGGAGAGGAAACAGTATGGTGACTACAAGCAACTAGCAAGTATTGAGAGCTGCATACTGCATAGCATTACTGGCTCTCACCTTGTTGCTCTCGGAGGGAAGCAGAGATACTGTGGCTCCCTCAACAGGGCTTGCGTCACTGAGCCACGTGACCCACACCACAGCATGCTTCTCCCCCGCCTGCAGCATCACAGCAGCAACCTCCGTTTCTGCCACCACCGCCGAAGGCTGCGACAGCTCCCGCACCCCACGCTTGCCACGCCTCTTCCTCCCCCCACCAAAGCGACCAGGAACATCACCATACGCATCCCCAGCAGCAGCAGCAGCAGCGGAGTCAGAGTCGGCCTCAGTGCTTATGTCTCTGTCTGAGTGGATGCATCCGGAACCACGAATGGCAAACATGCCGGTTGGGGCGAGGAGGGAGGAGGCGTTGAGAGTGGGTGAGGAGAGAGAGAAGCCACCCTGCGTGCTGTTGAAGTGGAAGCGAGCACTGGAAGCAGAGGACGTGCAGGGAGTCACAGCAAACGCGGACCAAGCTGCTGATGAAGAGGAGGAGGAGGCTTTCGTGCCCTGCTGCTGCCATGGCTCTGCTTCAGCTGCTGGGCCGGATGCAAGCCAGGGGACGGAGAGAGCAGCGGCGGAAGCAGAGGAAGCAGAGGCGGCGGATGAGAAGAGAGAGGAGGAGGAGGACGGGGAGGCAGGGGTGTTGGTGACCGGGAGAGAGGTGACGGGCCACGCGAGGACAAGAGGAGGGGGCTTGTCTGACCCCAGGTACGGAGGAAGCTGCAGAAAGAGCGGCCAGAGCTTATCCCACACCCCTGGGCTGTCACTGTCACTGCTAGTGCTTGTGCTGGTGCTTGTGGTGGTACTGGAGGCGTCGAGGAGCACGAGGGAGCGGGGCGCTAAGGCGAGAAAGGGCTGTAGGGGCTCCGTGGTGATGGCGATGTGAGAGGCACGCAGAGGCAGGCCAAATCCGTCCCGCACTGACGGACATGCAGCCACTGTGAGAGTCTGTGGCGAGTTGAATGGGGGGAGGGGGAGGGGGGGTTAATGGGGATTGTGGGAGGAGGTTTTGGTGGGGCGACAAGAGGATGGTGTTGTGCTTGTCTGTGAGAGTGTAGATATATACGTGTGAAAAGACGTGAAAGGAGTTGCGGGAATAGGGGAGAGAGGGGAGTTGTGTTAGACGTGCGACAAGTGGATGGGTGGTAGCATAGCAGCATGCAGTTAAGCACCACGAGCTGATCATGGAGGGGAAGGCATAGGGTTTAGTGAGACATACATATTTAGCATCGGGCTCTAATGGCGCAGAGAGAAGGAGAGAGCCGTTGGAAGGACGAGAAAGGTCAAACGCCACAGCTTCTACACCAGCAGCAGCAGCAGCAGCAGCAGCAGTAGCAGCAGCGCCATCTTTAGGTTGTGCGGCACTAGAGTGGAGCAGACTCAGGCACGCCTTGAGATCCGAGAGAGGAGAGAGCAGCCCGTGTGGTAGTGGCAGGGTTATCCTGCGCGACACCATGCTGCATTGCACACCATGGAACAGAAAAGAACAGCAAAGAGAGCGGGTGCAGGCACGCAGGTAGATAAGGCAGGTGGGCAGCAGGCAGGCAGGCAAACAGGAATACAGTGAGTGAGGCATGTGAGATGAGCAAGGGAGGGAGAGACACAACCAACTGTGTGAGAAATGGGTCATGAACCACAACAGGGGAATGCAAAGGAGGAGATGGGAGGAAGTGGACTTGTGGTCAAAACCGGAAACTGAAATAAAACAGAACATGCGAACACCAGAGCAACACGTCCCAAAGACAGGATGACAGGGAACCAGCCAGACAGACACCATTGGAACGGGGCGCCTCAAACGAGACTCAACCTCGTGAAAGAAACGTGGAAAGGGGCGTCAACTGGAGGAAGACAATGATAAACCCACCCACCTGAGGGAAGTGCCATCCTCGGATCCATCTGTTGTGATTCTAAACGGGTACGCCCCTCTCACTTCCACCACAAGCGGCTGCTTGAGAGGCCCCGCCTTGCCGTAGTACTTGCTTCCCCGGGGCAAGACCACGTGGAAATCAGTGTCCGGGAGGAAAGGGCCCCACTCGGCAGCAGCAAGCTTGCTCACAGAAAGGCTGTCCGTGCTCCACTCAGCAGCCATGGCTGCTGCTACGGCCGCTTTCCCTGATATCTCTGCACCTGTTGGCGCGGTTGTGAAGGTCACGACAGCACAGCGATCGATGGTGCTGCTACCAGCGCTTTTGTCGCTGCTGCTGCTGCTGGCGCTGGTGGTGGAGGAGGAGGAGTCAGCAGCAAGGGAGGCGAGGGAGATGGAGGAGAAGGCATCCCAAGGGCATGGCTTGACGTGGGTGGTCACACCGGGGACCACCTTGTTGGCCTTGGTGCGTAGCTGTGAAGGGTGGTGTGGAAGGGGGGGAGGGGTTGGGGGAGAGAAGAAGGGGCAGGGCGGCAGAACGGGAAGATTTGGGAAATTTGTGAAATGGGGAGAAAAGGGGATAAATGGAGGAAGAAGGAAAACGGGAAGACAAAGAAGTGGGGGGGAAAGGGGAAGGGGAAGAAAGGGAGCAGGGATAGTGTTTGAGGCACAGGGTCTTGGCAGGGGAAAAAACGGGGTGCAGTGCAGTGCAGTGCAGTGCAGTGTGAGGGAAATGAGAAGCAGATGTGAGATGAGAACGAGGCAAGGTACGGTACCTGAATGAGGTTGGGGAGTAGGTTGATGTCTACGAGCGAAGTGAAGGAGAGCAGCAGCCTGGCACAGCAAGGAGGACAGACAGAGGGCGGGACAAGGGCAGGAGGAGCTTTGAGCAGCTCAAAATGGGTGGAAGGAAGGAATTCCAGAGAGCAGGTGCAAGTGGAACTATTGACGAAAGGAAGCTGGGCACGAGATGGAAGAGGAAGCAAGAGAAACAAATGAACAAATAAAGGAAAAGGATTCTCTATGGCCGGGGTTAGCGGGGGAAGAGGGTGGGTGGAAAGGCGGAGAGGAGGTGGGTGGGAGGGAGAGTTGAAGGGATGGGAGGCGCGCCGTGAAAGGATGTGGGATGCTCACTGTGCATCAGGGGGAGCTTCGGTTGGCGAATTGGAGGATGTCTGCGTAGACCAGGAGCCCTGGTGAGTGAGCGGGTGAGTGAGTAAGCAAGGGAGTGAGTAAGCGAGCGAGCGAGTGAGCCCAACACGGCAGGCAGACGTTTGCAAGGCGGGATGAGGGCGGGAAAAGGGGGAGGGGAGAGGGTGCGGCTCGGGTGGAGCGGACTTTTGAGGCGCCTCAAAACTTGGGTGGAGTGGATCGCAGCCAGCGAAGCAAAGAGGAAGGAGGACGAGGCGTTGCGTTGGCAAGGGGTCATAGGGCATCATTGCTAGAGAGTGCATTCATGGGATGGGATGGGATGGGATGGGATGGTGGTGGTGATGGGTGCACCGTGCACGTGCATGAGTAGAGTAGCACTGTAGCAGGCCATTGCATTGCACGTGAATGAACAAGCAGTCTGCCTGCTCTGCTACAGAGCTCTCCTCTGTCCCTCTGTCTCCCGTGCATGGCTCACCGTGGCAGCGTAGGTCATGGGTGAGAAGACGATGTTGAGAGACATGGAGAGGGGGTCAGTGAGCAGTTGCAGGGCAGGAGGGGGGGATGCCTCATCCCAGCTGCCGCAGGGAGGGATGGGGACCAACGCGTGGAGGGGGATGCCATAGTCGGGTGAGAGAATCTCATGTATGAGGAACATTGGATTGGAGGAGATCATTGGAGGAAATGAAAGAGTAGACCGACAGACGAATGCAAAAAGGGGTAAAGGCGTCAAGAGGGAGGGAGGGAGGAGATAGGTAGGTAGGTAGGGAGGGAGGGAGGGAGGGACGGACGGACGGACGGAGGGAGGGAGGGAGGGAGGGAGGGAGGGAGGGAGGGAGGGAGGGAGGGAGGGAGGGAGGGAGGGAGGGAGGGAGGGAGGGACGGACGGACGGACGGACGGACGGACGGACGGACGGACGGACGGACGGACGGACGGAGGGAGGGAGGGAGGGAGGGACGGACGGACGGACGGACGGACGGACGGACGGACGGACGGACGGACGGAGGGAGGGAGGGAGGGAGGGAGGGAGGGAGGGAGGGAGGGAGGGAGGGAGGGAGGGAGGGAGGGAGGGAGGGAGGGAGGGAGGGAGGGAGGGAGGGAGGGAGGGCAGAGGGCAGACCTGGTGCCATCGAACGCTGAGAAGTTGGCATTCCAGGTGAGCGAGCAGGTGAGGTCGGAGGGCCACTCTTCCAGGGGGTCAAAGCGGAACACAAACGACGTCACCCTGCACTCACATACCCGCATGCCCACACAAGCCCACACACATGCACACACACATGCCCCCCGCTCATGCCAACATCACATCAGTGCACACAAGCCCACACACGCACACACATGCCCCAAGATCAGTGCACAAAAGCCCATCACACAGCGGACAGAACCAAATTCACAAACACACGGATCGAACCCGTTCACATGGGAATGTCTATATGCACACCTACAAAAGTGCTGACAGGCATGCAGAGGCAGGTATCGAGACCAACATCCACAACATAGCTACCAAATAAGCACACCTGTACTGTACACCTCCAATCCACTCCCCGTGTCCCCCAGCAAAATCCCCCTCTCTCTCTCTCACCATCTGGCTCGACCAGCAACGCTGTCAACGCCTTTACACCCCAGAGAGAAGGGCAGCAGCGAAGGGGGCAGGCCCCACTGCAGCGCTGCTGTTCCTGCTGCCCGTGCTCTTCCCTCGACCTGAGACGCATCGAAGCCAAAGTCGCTGCCTAGGGCAATGACAGCGCGGTTGAACACCACCTGGTGGGGAGATGGGAAAACGGAGGAGGGGTAAGGGCGGGTGCGGGGGGTGAGTGAGGGATGGAGGCAGGAGACAGGTGAGGTGAGACTTAGGAGTAGTGGCATGGCTAAACTACCGAGAGCGCGGAAAAGCATGGTTCATGAGAATGTGAGAGCGCCAGCATGGGAGCACGTGCGCATGGGAGCATGGGAGTAACGAAGCAGCAGCACCTGAATGGGGTCCGTGCCGCTGATTGTCGCGGAAGCAGCTGTGGCAGTACCTCCTGCCCCAGCGGCCCCTGATCCTCCTCGGGTTCTGCCAGCAGATTCGGTCACTGCTGGCAGCACGGACAGCACCTTTAGAGGAAGCCGGCCTGCTTGCAGGGAGGGGGGTGAATGGCGGAACATAAGGCGGACGGGAATATCGGAGAGGGAGACAGGCGATGGGTGAGGGGAAGGCGCAACATACGCACGCCCCCTGACAAATATCAGTTTACGACAAGATTCGCGCGACTTGGGACAAGAGCATAGTGGTAAAGGGACAAGAACCACGGATGCCATGGTTGGTGTACGCGTGCAGCGCATGTAGGCGTACTGGTGTACGGGTGCAGCACACGTGCGCGTACGCTTGTACGGGTGCAACGAGATGATACAAGTCAGGCCAGTTCCCCCACTTAATCTAGAAAGGAACGACCGGCTAGACTTTCTCCTCGGGATAAACAATTTCCGAATGGGCTCAGAGGCGATACGATCTAGTGCTTGGTGGCATGTGAGGTGTTTCATTTTACCTTGAAAGAGGCCTCGAGGAGCCGCGCTTGAGGCATCGCCGTTGGACGAGGCCGTGACGACGAGGACGACGGTCGGTCCGAGGGAGGCGAGAGGCAGCAGAATGAGGAGAAGCGCTGTGCGGAAGGCCGGTACGGTCGAGAAATACGCCATTTGGACGCGATGGAATCTAGGAGAAATTGGAACGACAAGGTTGGATTACGTGCCACGTGACACGAGCCACGTGGCTACTAAGAAACTTACAAAAGCTGGCCACGGGTGCTAAACACTACGCTTTCAACTATTGATGCACCATGTCGTACGGGTATATGCTGCAGCCAAAGGCAGGATACTCAAGACCCAAGACTATCTAAGCCCGTGCTTCTTATGCTTCAAGATACATTTGAAAATCTTGCATCCGCGTGTCAGAAATCCAAAGCGGTAAGGGCGTGTAAAATCCCCGCACAGTTCTGAAAATAGGGTCTGGCCGAATTTTCGACGACCAAATGGTCGTCATATTTTTCGCGAACGACGACGAGGTGGCCGAATCAGAGTCGACTCTTTTACAGCCACCATTGACAGTTTTGGCGATTTTACAACTTCGGTGGCCGATTTGCAGGCCGGTTCGGAAAAGTTGTAAAATCTGGAGTTACTACAGTAGTTGAGTGTGTGCGACGGGGTCGCACATTCGACGGCGATATTTCTCATTTGACGCGATCACAATTTTTTGCGTCCGGCGAGGACGTGCGACGTCGCATGCTATTGTCGCACACTGTGTCGACTAATTGGCCGCTTTGGAGTCGACTCGGCGTCGTTTTCGTGTCGACTTTTTAAACGGCCAACAAATTCGTTTTATTTCGGCGAATTGTGCGACAGTCGCTACTGAACTGACGACTGTCGTTAACTGGTTACCGTCGCACAAACGGCCCGACGGATTGTGGCCGATTTTTTTGAGTTCCCGATTTTACACGCCCTAAAGGCACACGATTTCATCATGCTATCAGAGAAAACACCCTTCGCAGCCATCAGAGAAAAGGCGTCCCCTGTGTTGCACCTCCAAAACACACACCGCTGCAAAGGGAACTTCAGATTCGGTACGGTTCGCTCCGCCCCGGCGAGCCTGGTAGCTTCGCTTTGGAATATTGGTTGGACGCCTGTCCAGCCTACCTTGGTAATGGTGCCCAAACCGCTGTCGAGCTGCAGAAGAGGTTCGGAACAGCTCCGGCAGTATCAACCAATTGGCGAGGGCAAGACCAACAGCGATGGTTTGGGGTAGCATGACACGGCGAACGTCGCCTTCGAGGTTGTCGGCGGACTGAGGTGGACGAGCTTCGGAGAAAGTGGAAGATTTTTGTTCGTCACCTCTCCAATAACTTATCAGGGCGACATCCGTTATTGGAACTATCGAATCAGTCACGAGTAGACTGTATACGCATCAGAAACAGTGCAATGTAAATCATATATCAGACATCAAGACGTTCGCGTAATTATTGTTTAGTTGGTTCTGCATGAGATTAAAATTTGCACTACCTAAGAAACGTGATACTCAGCCCAAAACACACAATCCAAGGCACAAGTGCTGAATTTTCTATTAATGGATGCCTACGAAGAGCTTTCTTACTTAACATCACAAATAGAAACGAACCCCTGCTACGGAAACCAAAACGATTCAGCGAAAGCATCAACCTTGGTAAAAATGGTGCCGTATTTCTTTCCCTCTTACCGTAACATGTCTAGTTCCAGCCTAGGACATAATCTAGGAACGCAACAATCAGAATCGAGAGCGGATAGAGTGCGAGAACAGGGAAGGCGAGCCAGGTCTGGAAGGTGCGCCGTGTGCCGCCAAGAATGCCGACAATGAAGGTGTTGAGCAGGATGATTGTGACCTCTGCACTGAACTGCCACTTCAACGACCGGAAGTACACCAGCGCTAGGAACGTGCCCAGACACCTGGTTGCATGGGGGGATGGGATCATGCGAGGGAAGTTGAGGACCACGGATAGGTGAGCGAGCAAGGTGGCACATGCCCTTCCCCCGTGGCAAAGACGAGTTCCGAAAGCCAGGAAGCCACGGGGTGGGGAGAAGAAGTGATTCACATGGTGTTGTGCATGGAGATGGTGCCGTAGACCTGCGAGATCATTGCACTTAGCTCCTTATTACGACCACCACGGCCCCATTCCCTGAAACTCACATGGTGTTGTTCATGGAGATGGCGCCGTAGACCTGCGAGTAGGTGAGCGAGATGGTGCGCTTGCGGCGCTTCAAGGCAAAGATGAGGCACGAGATGAGCTCGCTCGCGTTGGACGCCAGCGGCGTCACCACAAACGCCACGAAGAACGGCGGGATGTGCGACGCCCTGCGGGAGAAAGGCGAGGGGCCAGGGGTGAGGGAACGGGGAAAGAGGGGAGAGGACACCAGGTCGCTCGCATTGGACGCCAGCAGTGTCACCATGAAGGCCACGAAGAACGGCGGGATGTGCGACGCTCTGCCGTGAGGCAATACAGGATTATATGATGTTGTATGATGTGATATGGCATGGCGTGGGTGTAGGCATGCATGCAACAAGAGGAGGTAACTGGAGGCTTGAGGCAGATGGAAGGTAGATGGATGCAAGCAGGGCACGGGAGAAAAGAACAGTTGCTTTGGAATGGATAGTCGAGCAGTGAGGGACAAACAGAAGGGCAGATGAGGTGGGCTAATAATAAGACGTGGCATGCAACAGTGTGGTGAAGAAGCAGGATGAGGAGGTGTGAGAAAGAGGAAGTAAGAGTGAGTGTGAGGAAGTGTGAGAGAGGAACCCACTTGGAGAAAGAGGTGATGGAATCCACGACGGGTTCAGCAAACACTGTCACTAGTAGCGCTCCCCCCACAATCAGCATTATGGCCTGAGAGAGAGCAAGAGAGAGAAAGGGAACGGGCGGGAGGAGGGGGAGGGAGGGGTGGCCAGATAGAGAAGGGAAAGGGAAGGGCGAGTGGTAGAAAGAAGAGGGAGAGAATGGAGAGGGGGGAAGAGGGAGGCGGAGAAGAGAGAAGGGGACAGAGAAAGGGGTTAAAATAAGGCAAGTGAGGATAGAAGCACACAAACGTACATGCCCACCACACACAGACACACAACACAAAGGCGTGCATCAACTCACACACGCACACATTTGCGCATATCCACACCAACACACATGCGCATATCCACACCAACACACATGCGCATATCCACACCAACACATTTGCGCATATCCACACCAACACACATGCGCATATCCACACCAACACACATGCGCATATCCACACCAACACACATGCGCAAATCCACACCAACACACATGCGCATATCCACACCAACACACATGCGCATATCCACACCAACACACATGCACATATCCACACCAACACACATGCTCAGCTCAGCCTGAGCCTGAGCCACCGAGCCTCCCGCACCTGGCGTGAGATTGCTGAGAATTCTCAACGATCTCAGTGGGTAAGTGCTGGAGTGGAGAGTGCACGCCTTAGTGCTGCCAGCTGCACGCGCCTGTCGATAGGTCGAGGTTGAGGCACTACTGTGCGTGTGCTGCTGACCTAGTATGAGGACACCTGAGGACACCTGAGGGCACCTGACCGCACGTGAGAGCAGCCTGAGAGCAGCCTGAGAGCAACCTGGGAGAAGCCTGACGCACCTGGCGGTAGATCTCATCTCAGCAGGGGCCTTGCGTCCTTGGCCCCCAATTTCTACACTGAGAGCACCTGAGAGCGGCCTGAAGGCAGCCGGGCACACCTGGCGGTAGATCTCAGCGGGGGTCTTGGGTGCTTCCTCGTCCTCATCATCGTCGTCATCGTCTGCCTCTGGTTCATCCAGCAGCCCGTCCTCCAACCCCTCCAGATGCACCTTTGCTGTGTCCACATGCCCGTCCAATATGCTCTCCAGACTGGTGGTGAAACAATCACACACGCACATGTATGTGCACACACATTGGCGGGCGCACACATGCCACACACACACGCACAAGGGAAAAAATATCACAGAGAGGAAAACACACATGGGCATGCGCACCCACACACATGCACACACATGCACACACATGCACACACATGCACACACATGCACACACATGCACACACATGCACACACATGCACACACATGCACACACATGCACACACATGCACACACATGCACACACATGCACACACATGCACACACATGCACACACATGCACACACATGCACACACATGCACACACATGCACACACATGCACACACATGCACACACATGCACACACATGCACACACATGCACACACATGCACACACATGCACACACATGCACACACATGCACACACATGCACACACATGCACACACATGCACACAGCACACTGACACATGCACACACATGCACACACATGCACACACATGCACACACATGCACACACATGCACACACATGCACACACATGCACACACATGCACACACATGCACACACATGCACACACATGCACACACATGCACACACATGCACACACATGCACACACATGCACACACATGCACACACATGCACACACATGCACACACATGCACACACATGCACACACATGCACACACATGCACACACATGCACACACATGCACACACATGCACACACATGCACACACATGCACACACATGCACACACATGCACACACATGCACACACATGCACACACATGCACACACATGCACACACATGCACACACATGCACACATGCACACACATGCACACACATGCACACACATGCACACACATGCACACACATGCACACACATGCACACACATGCACACACATGCACACACATGCACACACATGCACACACATGCACACACATGCACACACATGCACACACATGCACACACATGCACACACATGCACACACATGCACACACATGCACACACATGCACACACATGCACACACATGCACACACATGCACACACATGCACACACATGCAACACACATGCACACACATTTGCACACACCTGCACACCACATGCACCACACATGCACACACATGCACACACATGCACACCACATGCACACCACATGCACACACATGCACACACATGCACACCACATGCACACCACATGGCACAACACATGCACACACATGCACCACATGCACACCCATGCCACACACATGCACAACCCACA